TTTGTTTGTTGTTTTGGGGGGTGGGGGGGGGGGGCGGCTCACTTTTGCTTTCCTGTTGTAGATGCAGAATTCACACCTTTATAAAACAAAGGGAATCCATTTTGAGTGCAAAGCTGTCTCGCTCCCTGCTTTCTGAAGTTTTGGCTTTGAAAAACAAAGCATTCCATAATTTAGAAGGCTAAAAACAGTGAAGTAAACCTGTACAAATAATATTCTTAATAATGTAGGCATTTTGAACTGAGTACTGCATCATAGAGAATTTTAAGTTAAATTAAAAGGCAATCAGTGTTAATTATCACATTTGTATAGGAAAACTTGATTAGCTTGCACAGAGCTGAGAAACTTATTACAATTACAAATATGCAGTAATTTCACACTGTATAATATTCCTACGTACTTGTCATGTGTTAATTTTACCAAAAATATTTCTTACATTTTAAAATAAATAAGAACACCTGCACAGCTTTCAAAAAGGAAACTGCTAACTATTTCAGTGAACAAGCACCAAAGTCTCCTTATCAGACTGTACTCCATTGCCATGAACCCTCAAAATGAAACAGCACTTGAGATGACGTACTGTGATCTGGTATCAAGCCAGTCCCTGGTCTCAGCAGCAGCAAAACTTTATTCCCTCCAGCCTGAATCAGCTCAATGGCTCGTGTGTGAGTGATTCCTTGGGTGGGTTCTCCATTAATTTCAACAATTTGGTCACCAACCTGATGAGAAATGAGCAACCGGGTTAGTCTTTGTGAATCTCTGACACCATAAACTAATTTTTAGTTCAGAAAGAAAAAAATATAGGTAAATGCTTCTATTTTTCCTCTCATGCTAAAATCCACTCAGCAATAGCAACACCATTCCATGGCTGCTGATCACAACACAACACTCTGGCAGTTCAGAGCTCTTCATGCAGGTCATCTGCTCAGCCAGCTCAATAAAAGATCTCAGATTAAACACATCTTGTCTTTATTTACAACTGATGAGACAGATATAGCCATATGCTTGAATGTATTTTCATTCTGGACCATCATATGGAGGGAGCTTATGGACAAACCATATCAAACCTGGCACCATGTGCCTGTTTAAAGTCACACTAACCAGGTAAGTAACAGAGCAACTTCTCTACACTTAATGCAAAGCTGAATACTGCCACAGCGGAACAGGTTTTATATAAGGAAAGGATTTTTTATTCCAGGTAGGAGAGATCACCACTATGCAGTTATCAGTACTAAGGTCTCTCAGGCCAATTAGCAACTTACAGAGATATTGGGCAGGTAATTACAGTTCACACTAACTTTGCAGGCTGCTGGGAAGGGGTTGGAATAGCATCCCCACAAAAAGGGTCGTGAAACCTATTTCGCAATACACAGATCAGCCAATGGATGTCACTAGTGCATAAAATCAGCAGTTTAAAGACACTGCCTGGGCTTTGTCAAATAAACTCTCTCTGCCAAAGAAGGTCACTGGCTGGTTACTCATCGGACAGGACAGGACGCTCCACACCGCACGTCGTGCCTCCCGTCATGCTCAGTTGCCATTAACTGGATGAGAAATTCTTCTTCACTGTCCTAAAGTACAGCCAGAAAATGACACCATTTTCCAGCTGAGGAGGGAGAAACTGAATGACATGGATATTATGAATAACCCCATGCTGGGTGAGTGCAGTCCCTCTGTGCTCTGAGCTGCTGGGGACACACAGCACAGCGCTTGCAGCCCTGCTCCTCCACAGCCACCAGCACCAGCCACGGGTTGCGGAGGGCTCACGTTCCCCAGGGGACACAACCATCCACCATCGCAGCGAACGCATCCCTGCATACACGCATCCCCTGCACGTGAGGTGTGAGGTGCTAAGTGGTGGGAGGGGGCTTTACACAAGACTGCTGAGGACCCACGGTCCACAGTGAAAGTCAACATGTGGGAGCTGGAGTGCTTTCAGCAATCTCTTGCTATTGCAGTCCCCCCACCAACCCCTGCCTTGGCACAGGTCATCTATGCGAAGCAGAGTGCAGTCAGCTGGAAACCTTTTGGTTGCTCCTGCCCTGGAAGCAAAGCCCTGGAGCTTAGCGTACCACCACTTGAAGCAATACAAGAGAAAATATTCGTACTGAACACTACATTCATTTAGTCTCTCAAGCATGAGGGGAAAAAAGCTAATTACTGTAAAGAATTAGGATAATAGAAACTAACAATACCTAGAATTTCACATCCAGTTAAGCCCCACAGTAGTCCCAGCAAGAATCTGTGTCAGCCCTATTCTGCAAGCTATAGCACAAATGGAGGCAGAGCCTTGTGCCAGTGGCCGTATGTGCAGCGAAGCACCAGGACTGCATGGGGATGGCATCTCACGGGCACCTGGCTCAGCTTCACCCTCCAGCCTCTGAAAATTCAGCTCTGGGCAGTAGTCACAGATGCTCACGTACCATCTACCATTGTTCTTTGCTATTGTACCCATATGTTTTGCTTTTACTACAATATTTGAAAGTGAATTCCTTACACAAACATTAGAATTAACATAATAAGCTTTGAAAAAAGTTAGGCTTGTATCTTCAAACACTGCACAGAACAGCAATAGCACAATGTACACACAAACATTTCTTACAAATTCACTAACTTGGACAGTGATTCTCCTTTTGGCTTTCTGCTCCACTGCAATTTCTTGTCTGGGGTCCTGAAGTATCCTGAGTATTTGCTGCTTACACCCTGGGACACGTACATTATTGTAACTCAAGCATGGATGGACAGTTCATTTTGGACAGCCAGAGCTGTTCATATATTTCTCCTTTAAAAGCCTACCGCCACAGCATTTGCTGTCACTGCACAGTAACAGCTGGAAGAAGGGCAGCTGTCCTGATGCTGTTCTACCTGCTGGGACCCTACACTCATGAAAGAACAAAGTTTGCTGCCACTGCAGGTGAATTAATGTGCCAAAAGGCCAACTTGATCAACAAATTGATTAGAGAAGACAAACTCACATGTACTCTCCCATCTTTGACAGCTGGCCCATCTTCAGCAAGTCGAAGGATGAATAAGCCCATGTTGTATTCCTTTCCTCCTCGAAGGCTGAATCCAAATCCTCGAGGGCCCCTTTCCAGCTCTACTGGGAAACAGCCAGGATTCTGTGCGGTAAGTCAGAGAAAAAAAGATGAGGACTCGTAGGCAGATTTAAGTATTTGTTTTTCTGGAGAAGTGCTTCACACATTTCTGTATTTTGAGAAACATGCAATTCATGATTTACACTGAATTAATCACAACTCATGTATGACTACATGTAATGGTTTCAGTCTAAGTCTAAACATACAGAACATTTTTCCTTCTAAGTTTTAGATATGCATGAAATTTCTTTAAGAAACCTTGTGAAAGGGTCTGTAGTAGCCCCATTGCAAGCATTTTCTGTTTCTTTTATATTTATGAGTATTCCACTATACTAAGATGATAATAAAATTTAGAACATGAGCAAAAACATTCTGTGAAACACTTTAGTGCATTTTTATATGCAACTTTTCTACCCACGTCTGACAGGGACAGGTTTTATCATTCTGCTTCCGAATATTCTGTGGCAATGTCACTGTAGTGTCTTGACGAACGACTATTTTGCATGTCTCTGCACCCTCTGGACGGTTACCTGTACCTGGGAATGACGGCTACCAATAACTGAAGCAACACCAGCATCAGACTGTGTCAAGTGCTTATGCTCGGGCCAGGAAAGCCTGTAACTATTTGAAACTTCTTTTCCAGCTTCACTTTCCGTAGCTCCCCTACACAGAGATAAAAGGATGTGGATGTTACCTTTGCATTAACAACCCCTCTGGTCAAGCTTTTCTAGCTGTTCTCAGTTCCTTTTGCCAAATCCAAAAGCACTGTACCTGTCTGCGCCAGAAGGGTTGATCTGCGTTGATCCCAGTGGTCGGTGCTGTGGAGCTGGACTCTGCCGGGCGGAGTTTGTTCCTGATGGAGGACCACGGTGTTCTAATAAATTCAAACAAAATCAACAAAGAGAATTTCCCAAATATAAAGCTAGGCATCCTCACCACGAGACCACGGTGACCATCAGTGCTGTGTCTGCTGTTTCTAAGGATGCTACTGCCACAGCATCTCAGATTGAGCTGAGCCCACCACAGTCACAAGGTGAAGAAGATTTTGCAGGTTCTAACACCATATGCCAGGAACCCAAGTGTAGTTCACTGGTTCCATGGAATAAATTCCTAGGAATTTTATTCTTACCTACGTTGCTTTTCCTCAGAAAAACAACACAATTTTAACTGAACTAGACATGACCAGAAGGGTTTTAGACTCTCTGGAAGTTGATGAAGGCCAGAAGGGATTAGGGCTAGTCAGATCCATGAAGTTGGTTTGGATATTCAATATAATAAAATTTTCTAAGAGATTAAGAATAATGTCCCTCTGAGAACATATCCCTTTTTAAAAGTAAGAGGAGAATGAGGATCTGCAGGAGCAATGAGGATTCAGAGGTGAATACCCCAACAAAGGAGGGAAACTGTCAACTCATTTAAGGCACAGTGGAGAGTTTGCTACCAGTCAGCTATAGGAAAGGTTATGAACTGGTCCCACAACCACACTGGAGGGACTAATTCACTGACATGTTATCAAAGAGAATTTTAAAGTGTTTTGCCCTCTCCGAAAGGCTAAATAAATTATAATGACATTTTATTAAAATCTTTTAAAATAGCTTAAGATTATTTTCCCTTCCACACAAAATACAGTAATTGTGCACTTTACAATAAATCCAGTGCATTTATGAAAAAAACATATTTCGGGATAAAAAATGTCTCTTGTTACTTAAGAGTACTGAACCATAGTCTACACAAAAAGCTGCCTCTTAGCTAGAACCTGAAATGGCAAGTAGTGGCCTAAGATGAACTTATTTGTTGAATTATAAACTAATAAACTCCTTTTCCTTCCAAGGGTTAAAAAAAAAAAATCCCAAGCACCAAAACTAGAGGTGTTCCAGTCCTCTGTTAGGTGTGTCACATACTACATTTCTGTTACAAACAAACAAACGCTAGTAAAATATACAAAGTGCTCAAGCATCTTAAGGGAAGGAAAACATAATACACATTATTAGACTGAATTTCTCAGGTATGCAAGACCTCCCAAGTCCTTCACAGGACTGCTTGGTGCTATTACTGTGACATGCCTTAAAGAGGTTTTTCTCTAGAGACAAAATGTCAACTTTTACTCCTAGTTTATGCTCAGAGTTTTAATTTAGAAGCACAGACAAGAAAAATGCCATCTGTTTGTACAAATTCTCCAGTTCTCTTTTCAGCCTGCTCTCTTGTGTTTCCAGCTAATACATGACAAAAGCTGACAGGCTCCTGCTTTTGTGAAAAATGTTAAAGAATGTCTTCTGGCGCATGACGTGGAATTCGTTTATTCGTATGAAAAGCAAAGATCACACATTTGTGAAAGCTAGAAGGGAGAGGGAAGGGGTACAAGGCAGTATTTTCATTGCCAGTCTCAGAGGACAGCACTGAAGATGATGCACTGGGGAACAGCAAACTCTGTTAGGGTTTATGCTTTGTGACGCTGAACAGCTTCTGGCAAAATGTGTATTTTTCTCTTTGGAGCTGCATCTTGCATCTTCCTTGGTGTTAACCACTGTCTCGTGAACCATCTCTGTGAAGCTCAGCTCTCCCCCTGCAACCCAGTGGGGAAAACGCCTGAAGCCCTGACTAATTCACATCCACTCTGGCCTTCCACGGGAGTCTGCTGTAGGGAGGCTTATGCTGTGAGCTAAACTGTACTTCTCCAGCTAAATCAAGGAGAATTTTAAAGTGGTGATGTATTCCCATTTCAGTGGAACAGGTTCTGCTTCTCTCTCCTTCATTGTCACAAAATTCTTTACATCTGAAACACGCCAACTCCAGCTCCTCTAAGCCGCACATTTTTTCTAACTGGTCTCCTCAGTCTAGTTTTATCACCTGCTACAGACTTTTTTTTAAATCTCTTTGTTGATTCTCCTCAGGTTCTTGTTTTATCTCTACATTTTGGCTCCAAATCTGTAATTGAGGAAGTGGGAAAAGTTCTCACACAGAGTCCAGGTAAGGTAAGGTCATACATAAATAAGGGACAAAAATGTTATATTCAGAAAGCTTATTTTGAAAACAAAGCTGATTAAGAGCCCCAGAGAAACAGATCTAATGCAATCAACTCAAACTTCATTTGCATTACAAACATTGCCCTGGGCAACTGCTTTGAGGTGTGTCCCTTCAAACTGGAAAGAATTAGATTTGATAAACATGAAAATCTTAACAGAAAAGTAACAATTTATAGAAGTATCTCTGCTTCAAGCATTAACAAAAAGGAAAATTAAGTCTTTGAAATTCTGTATTACAGGCTGAGATAGCATGTTAAATATTTGCAATGAACATGAAATTAGAGAATCATCTGTTGACTTTATTCACATTCTGGCTTTAGGTATTTATTATTTAAAAGGTGAAGAAAGCCAACTTTCTACCAAAACAATGATAGCAAGTTTAATTAAACCCACAAGCAGCAATCCAGAAAAATGCAGTGGTAAGCAGGGTTGGAAAACAGCTTTTCTCTTCAAATGATTGGATTTTACATATTTATAGTGAACTGTTTGTGTAGAAACAATACCATATTGAATGCAGTGTTGCATGGGAGCTTTCATTAAAAATATAGTCTCTAAAGATGGGACTTTGCAGTCACAAATACTCACTTTACTGCTTAGATGACATGGCAGCTGTGTGTGAAGAATTTGCTAGCAGCCTGGGAGGCTCTGCAGGAAAACCCTGAGCAAGGTTTTCATGGTGGAATGTGACCATTTTTCAAAGGGTAGTTTTGGCAGACAGAACTACAGGATGTTTCTGTTGTATCCCAGGGATGCAGCATTAGGCAATTTGTGTATTTTAACATAGCAGGAAGGAAAAACTCTGAGTGCCTAAATGGAGAGGATATGGAAAGCAGGTGTCCCTGCGGCCTTAGAGCACCCTACCTCTGGCCAGCAGAGCTGCTCCAGAGCATCCCAGGGGTACCTGCCTCATCTGGAACAAAGCTCCTGGCAGCGACTGCAGCAGCAAGAGACAGGCACTGTCCAGAGGCGAGAAGATTTTTCTCTCTGAGTATCATCGCATGTCTGCTACAGCTCCCCCAGGAGAGGGGGAATTCAACCCTTTGGTTGAATGCAAGGTCTGCACAGGACATGTTTCCATGTGAGCAGCAGTCTCTCACATGAGAATCCATGAGAATTTCCCTTACCCTGCATCATATTGTTAATAGCTGCATCTTATTTTTCAGTATAACCACCTTGGCAGCTGTCTCTCTCTACCCCACCTGCCTTCAGCTCTTCCACAGCAAACAGATGAGCTTCACTTTTTTTTTTTTTTCCCAAACATCTTAAAAAACTCCACTTTAAGTGAATTAACCTCAGAAGTTACAAACATCAGACTTTGGCAGTGTGGTAGGACCCATCCACCTGCCGGAGCCGCACGCCCTCCTTACCTTCCTCAGCCACGACAGTCAGAGTCACCACGTTCCCTGCGTCCTTGATCAGCTGCACTATGCTGTCATGTGAGAGCTCAACGATGGATTGACCATTCACCGCCGAGATGCGGTCTCCCACTTTCAGTTTCCCACACTGGTCAGCTGGGCTCCCATCTATAACTCGCCCAATCTTGTGAGGAATCACTAGGAAATCAAGAACAGGGACAGCAACACAATTAATATTCATGTCAGATAAGTATCACCCAGACCCAGAATTGCCACAGACATCCCAGAGACCGCTCCTGCTCCAAAGGGCGGCACTGCTAGCACAAGAAAAACTTGCAAGTAACAAAGAAACCTTCAGTCAGTAGAGTGAATGGAAACACCAAGGCCTGACAGCACGGCCTTGTCACATACAAGGTGTTGTGCCTAAAGGGAAACACGGGAAGGAAATGGGTCACATCTGCAAAGGGATGAGTAAGGCCACGTGTCCCAGGAGCTCTCTGAAGCAGTTTGTTTTGCCACTCACTGTATTGTTTTCCATTTCACGTATAGACCCTGGAGCACTGTGTGGACTCAGACAGTTATGGACATCCAGTTTAACAGAGTCATTAGAAATCTGGATGTATGGGTTATCTCTTCCTCCTTACAACCAAAAATTAAGCCTTAAATACACTTCAAAAGGAAATCAAACTTCTGCCAGACACTGACTTAGTAACCTGGTGAGCACCTTCAGCAGCGACCCTCAGCATACCCAGGCAGCACAGCAAGATGTGCTTCATCAGCTCTGCACAGACCAGTTCCCTATTCCTGCTCTCCGAGATGAACTTGCACCTGTAATAATCGTCTTGAATTTTAGCTAGCTCTCCTGGCTTGGTTTCCTCAGTTCGTCCCATAGTGACACTCTGCTCTGTGTACAGGCTCCTCTAGAGGCCAAAGCAATGGGGCCAGAAAAGACAAAACAGGGAGAAGGGACTTTTATGAGAAGCAGAAGGAAAGACGACTGCTTTTAGTTACCTTCCCAGAGCAGAACACAGATGCAGGAATGAGCAGAACTAAAGAGGCACATGAAGGGAGGGATGATCCACTCCAGCGTGGTGCTTCCTCCAGCACCTCTCCCGTGGGAGAGCACAACCACGGCCCCGGCAGCTCCTGCACTCTCCCCGCCAAGAGCCGTGCTGGTGCTCGGGGAGAGATCTTGTTTTACGGTTTGCTGACCCGAACGTCAGCACTGCAGATGGCACTCAGCAGCCAGTGAGATACCATTGCGATGGGAGAAGCCTACCAAAACCTGGGGCAAAAGAGTGGTTCGTTGAGCTGCCTGCCTGCTGACGTGGCCTCAACAGAGCAGATTCACATTACATCAAAGCACATCAGTCAGCATGCTTTTCCATGCGTCTAAAACAGCCTTTCATTCATCTGGATGCCTGAAAGCACAGCAAAATTGGCTCCTGTCCTTCCCAAACCCCTCATAAAGGCTCTTCTGCACAGGAACTGCTGCACTGCTCCTTTGTAACTTATTTCCAAACACCTCTCCAGACTGACCTCCATGTTTCATAAATGCTGTTCCTGGTACTTCATGTAAAAGCCTGTTTGCACCTCCAAAGCCTGAAGTGGGTTTGATGGATACCTGTTTTCTGTAGTTGCTGCTCTCCCAAACATGCTTTTCTCTGAGGGACCGGAGAGGTGAGGAACATTATGCCGCTGTCAGGATTACCAGCTGGCTTTTCAAAACTATGACAGCAAATCTGAAACACTTTCACAGTGTCATCAGCCACCCAAGATTAAAAAGCCATCAAGGATTGTTTTAATGAGCTAGCGCACACAGAAGTTACTGTGAAAGAACAGACATTGATGCCTTCTAGCATCTACCATGAGTTTAAATTTTAATTACACTTCCCTTAATAGACTTTTTTTAAGTACTATAAACCTAAGAGCCAACTGTGAAGAGTAAAGCACTGCAGGGTTGCAGACTCAATTGCTGATTACTTGTTTTAAAATATCCTGGCTTTAACATGAAGCTACTGTGTTCTTCTAAACTGTGGCACTGCAAAGTTCTGCACAGCACAGCCTGTGGAAGCACTAGCATCTCTTTTCCTGTGTGTTAGAAACAGCCGAGACCACAGGGCTTATGTTTTCAGCACTGGAATTGGTTTCAGTTGTCTTCTCCTTTCAGTTCTAGTATCAAATAAACAGGGATTTGCACCAGATCCTCAGACAAAAACGTTGTTTGTAGTACAGTCATATTATATTAGAATACCAATGTTATAGAATAATTCTTCTTACAGTATTTTTTCTTAATATCTGACTGACCAGACAACACACCATCAACCCATGGCCACTCTGACACAGGACACAATTATCTGCACAGCATCATGCACAGGAGGGTGACAGCTTGCCCTGCTGCTGCCATGGGAACCCGACAGTAGCTCCAAGCATGGACCACTGCCACTGCGCCGTCCCACTGCGCCAGGCACTTCCAGAGCGGCTGGCTTTAACATTCTTGAAAAGGTATTGTCTGAGCCAAGACTGCGTCACACTCTAAATATATATCATATGAATTCAGCACAATGTTATTTAGAATCAGTTTTTTTCTGTGCTCCTGCTGTTTTTTCTTTGTGCAGCAAAATGAAGTGGAAAAACAGAAGAAAGTGTCTGAGGCTCAATAAAAAGAGAGACACACTTTCAAGCCATGGTTACGTCTCTCTGGAACCAGCTGAGGAAGTTTCAGAAGGGTGATTTACACTAAGGAACTAAAGGAACCGAGTAAGGATTTCAGGAGTTATCTGTACCTTAATGTCAGTGAATTGAGTTCGTTTGTGGGTGAACACACTGAGCTGGCTTGTATTTTGAGGGCTGCCACAGATAACCCAAACCTGATGGCCAAAGGGAATGAATCTCAGAAAGATGACCCTACTCGCTCCCTCATGCCAAAAATATTCAATAGCCTTTACATGGCACTACGAGGTAAGTAGCAGCGATCAGCATGAGGAATACAAATGCACTTGATTACACAGAGCAGACCTGCTCCTGTGCAGGGGGTCATGGATCTTCCCATTAATTGACTGAGACTCCAGGGCTTCCTCCAAGCAGGTTCTCTCATTCACTTCTGCTCACAATATTTCTTTTTATTTTTGCTTTTAACCTTGGTTATTTTGCTGTTTATCTTTACAACTATGCCTGAAGCCATGTCCATATATCAGAACCATAGTACCAGAGCATGCTACTTTTTCTTTTTGATGGTCTTCCTAGACAAAACCCTATCTGTCTGACAGTAACAGCTTCACTGCTTTCTTCCAAGTACTGCAGTCTCTACTGTCTCAGATCCCCAAAATAAGAAATTCTACCTGATTAGGTAATACGAAGCCAAGGTTGAAACTATTCTTCCATTGTGAGAATCTACATCACCACCACAGCCTGACAGCTATCCACGTCCTGAAGACTGCCCTGTGACAAGTGCACACTCCTGTGTACAGGCTAGTTGCGTGTGATATACTTTCCCTCTGCTCCCCACTTATGTCAGAGCTGGGTGAAAAAGAATATAAACATGAAGCAAGACAGACCAAGCCTCAGCTGGGTGGGCTGTGAAATAGCATGAATCAAAGACGAGTGTACCTACGCAGCGCTCTGCGTAGATAACACCAGCACTTCAAAGAAAGAGAAGTGCCTGAAGAAGCTGCAGCCCTGCTCATGCCTGCTAATGCCAGCAGCAGCTCTGGCACAAACACGATGCAGTGAGGCCAGGCAGTGACAACGTCACCAGAACACGGTGCTTACCACCAGGAGGAGGTTTGTTCTTTGAGGTGAGGATGACGAAGCCAAATCCTTCATTTTCCTTCCGCTGCAGACGGACATCATAGACCTCTGGGGACTGCTGGTTTGCAAACTCTACCCGATTCAGTCGGGGAGAGCCGTTTTGCGTCAAGACAGGCTGCAACTCTTCCTCCTCCGGTTGCTTTTCCCCTTGCAGGTAACAGACAAACCACAAATAAGGAAAAACCAATACTGCTGTTTTACCAAGCAGCTACTACAAAACTGTACATCTCAGTATCAGTGCCAGCATAAGGAAACACTGCCTGCCTGGGAAAGTAAGGGGTGAGTTTATTAACAATACAGTTTGGATCAAATAGAAACCAGATGCAGGACAAAGCATTCGAAGGCCCAGAGTCCTACACAGGTATGCACAGTTATGCAAGGAAAGCCTGCTGCACACAAACAGACTTGGCAGTGTGTACCCAGACTCTGTCAGAGCGATCTGATGCCTTCTTATAGTAAAAAAAACCATAATGGCCTTTCTGCATGCTACAACTACAAGACCTACAGCAGAGATCCTGCTACAAACTACAACTATTGCTATCTTAAGTGAGGAATAACTGTTTACTTGGAACAATGGAAACATTTTTCAAAAGGCAGTTTGAAGACTGAAGCCAGGCTTTCTTTTAGGAAACGTACAACATTTTGGTCCTGAAGTAGCTATCTATCAGAAGGCATCTTAAAGAAATTGAGAACTGATCTTAAAATACTTTTTCCTTTTACTTGTATATACTCAGAATTAATGGTTGAATAATGCAATGGAAAAGCAATACTGGTTGCTAATTGGCACAGGGGACTTATCAGTACTCCTGAACCCCATCCCAGCTCTATCATTCATATGATCAGCATCATTGAGTCAAGGACAATAATCTTCTGTACACTGCCAATCTGGACAGTGATCTAAAACAGCAGAATCACAAGATGCTGCCCTACATCATCTCTGGTTTGAATGCACTTACTCTTGCTACACATAACATGTCAAAAGACTTCAGAATACAGCATGCTGTACAGAAAAGAGATTGTGTTATTACTCCATTTGCATAGCATTAGTGGCTGTTCTAACTAATATCTGCAAAAAGGTTTGAAGAAAACACCACTGCCATCATAATTTTCAGAGCCTTACCTGTGTGAGCAGTGCAAACCAGCAAGCACCAAAGCATCAGCTTATTAAATTCTGCTTTTCTCCACTTACTCAGAATTATAGCTGACCCTCCTGAATCTCAGGCTGCTCAGCTCTAGTGCAATAATTGATGAGTTTCAGAGCAGCTTTAATTGATTTGATTACAAAAACATTAAGTTTAGCCAGATCTGTGTCCTGCAGTACCCTCTCCAGACAGACAGACACATACCACCAAAGATGATCTTCCTCCGGACTGTGAGCAGCACTTGACCATTCCGTGCAGCACTGGTCATTAAGTCCAAAACTTGTTTGTGTGACTTCCCCTTAACAGGGACCCCATCAATACACATCAGTTCATCCGCAGCTCGAAGCCTGCCGTCTTTTTCTGCTGCTCCCAATGGGATTATGGCTCCAATATAAATCTGTCAGCAGAGCAGAGTCAAGGGGTTTGAACGGCAGAACATGAACTCATCAGAACACGTAATGGTTGGAATCCAGGTGAATCCAGACAGATGAGGGCTTTTGGGAAGGTATTTTTAAAGATTATCTGACTGTCCAATTCTAGCAGAAACACAGCCAGTGAGTGTACTTAGCACAAGCTGACTCAGTGGCTACAAATTGGGGGCTCAAAGCATTCAGTAAATACTTAAAAGTTTGGGGACATTTTTAATCTTTATTTACATGAATTCTGGAAGCATTGCTATCTCTTGAGCATATTTTTCAGTTTGCTAAAAAGCCCAACTTTTGACATAAGCATGCACTATGTACTTATTACAAACATGATTTCCCAGACATTATTGAAACAAAAGCCTCTCATTCGTTCTACTTATTCTAGGGATTTTGTTTGTTTGTTTTGGTTTGGGTTTTTTGGGGTGTTTCAGTGTTGTTGTTGGTTTTTTTTGTTTGTTTTTTTTTTTTTTTTTTTATGAAGACCAGGCCAGAGTGATTGGGGAAGAAGCAAAAGCTTTCAAAAGAACTTGGTTTTACTTCTGAAAAGCTGCTCAGACAGTTCCATGCTTCAAGGTTTTTTCAGTGAACAGCTTTTGGTGATTAGATAATGAATTCAAACAGCTACACTTCCCTTAGCAATTTTGTCTACCCCCACCTCAAAGTGCTACTAAATATAACACAGATAAGAATGCCACACACTATTTCACATGCTAGAATAACATTCAGGTTAAATGAAAGATTAAGAATAATTAAGCCAGTACTCGTCGGAGGTTAAGCAATGGTGGGCACATCATCTGTACAGAGGATTCACAACATCAGCCTGACACTTACCAACAGCTATGGCTGTTATGGAAACAAAACACCACAAATGCTATAAAGTGCACAGAAGTAAAATTCTTTGGTTTTGCTCTTCCTTTTTGTTTAAATGCATGTTAGAGGAGGAAAAAAAAAAAAAAAGGCTAGCACTGGATCACAGCTGTGAATGGAAAAAACCATACTCCTTAACTGTAATCAGAAAACAATCTATGAGTATCTATTCCAAAAGCTTTTCCTCTTAACTTGACAGCTGAAGGAACGGCCCCTGACATACGGTACAAGTCTTAGCACTTCTTCCCAGAGAAAAACTTTTGCCTTTTTGGAAATGGAGGAAGTCTCCTAAAGCCTGCCATCAGAGGGACAGACTACCCAGGGGTTTCTGCACTGGCATTTACCCATCTGCCTCCAACTCCACCATTCCTTGGCAATGACCTCTCAAGCAGAGAGTCATCCAAGTCCAACTGCAACAGCTCTGCAGGCTGAGGCCAGGAAACACAACTACATTGACGACTTAAAATCATAACTGAACTCTAGCCACTGACCAGGTTAAAGCAAACTAGGCACTAACTAGTATTCTTCCTATTGTGCAAACATTAGAGCTACATTTTGATACCAGTTACAATGTAAAACAATACCAATATCCATTTGCAGGAGGAAGCCAGTCTTAACAGGTTCTGCTTCCAGGCTTTCACAAAAATCCTGAAGTACCACATTTTGTATTTTCCGAGATGAGAGGGAAAAACACAAGGCAAATAAAAGCCTGAAAGAGTGCACTGGAAAGGCTGTACTTGTCTCCTTGAGACAAATCCACCAGAAACCACAATGACTGATGGAACAAAATGCATTTTCAAAAATTCGGTGGGAGAGGTGGGAAAAAAGGGTGCAACACAATCCCAAATCTCTCCTCGTTTCACTGGGCTGTATTCAAAAGAATGGCCTGACAGAATTTTTGCAGGGTAAGCAGCCGCTTCCTTCCACTCATCTACTCCCCAGCATGCGCCAACGTGCAAAGCGCACTGAGCTTTGCCAGGGCGCATTTTGTGCCAAGACCACCATTGGGATCAGGTGGAAACAGGCAAAGGCTGGGTTCCAGCACTGCCCTTTTGAGTGCTCCCAAGACACAGCAACAACTACAGAAACACCATCAGTATTACCAGCCTGACACAGAAAACCGCTGCCAAAGACAGACTCTAGATAGTGGAAAGGGCACGGGAGCCTTGCAGATTAAAGTCAGCCACGAAGAGGAAAAAAAGAAAGGTAATCTGAACCAACTCTTGATCTTTAAAAGGCAATTACTGAATTGATCAATTTTGCCATCACTGAACTGTTTAGAACGAGAGAGAAATGAGGATGACAGAGTAGGAGTCATTCCAATGGTAATACTGTAAGATAACACATAGGTAACTGTAAACAGTTTCACTTACAGGCTGATCTGGTCCATCCCCTCCAAGCACCCGGAAACCAAAGCCTGACTCTTGTTTTCGCAGGAAAACATCCAGATCTCTTGTGTTTGGAGCTAAGACAAAGTAACATTTCAAAACATGTAAGGAGCTATCTTTGATCATTGAAAGTTCATGCTTTGGTGGTGCATTCTGACTCTTCTCATTGACTGAACGCAGTAACCAGAAATACAGTAAATAATTCAAACAGTCAAATCTTCAGTGACATTCTTTTCCCAAAACAGAAAAATAAATTTTCAAGAAAAGGCTGAAAAAGGAAAGGATAGATCAACAAATGCCAAAGGAGAAATCACAGCTGCATTTGTACAGTGGGCCAGGATAAAAGCCAGTCTGTAATACAACTCAGAGCTACCTTCTATAAACTCTGAAATGGTCAGGTCTACTTCAGTGTACTTCAGAACTAGATCATCCTTGAGACCATTTCTGTGTTTAACTGTTTTATTGTAATAATGGTTGAAACATATTGTATCTTTTTTTGAAAAAGGTGTTCCACAGTTTTCTAGTTTCTGTACGACTGACGCATTTCTCAAAATGTTTGATCTACAGGAGGTTAACAAACTCAATACGAAAGTCACAGTAGTTTTACCACACATATAACAAGGAAAAAATTCCTTCATAATTGAATATTTCCACGTTGAAGTTGATATACTCACGTTTGTCATCATATATAGTCTTAGACTTCAGGTAGACTTCCGAAGGGTCCAGTTTAGGAGAGCCTGGTCGTACAGCAGTGGGTGGAAATGGCATTGGCTGTGGGATGGGATCACCGACAGCTTCCAAACTCCCAGAACTGTCCTGCTTGTCCTTCTGAAAGAGACACCACCCCACAAAATGCATATTAAATCAAAAGCGTAACTGAACTTGTGTACTTCTGCGCACAAAGAACATCATGCAGAAGTGAAATGCAGGGCAACACAAGGGAATAGGGGAATATTATTACAACTCAACGTAGCTTTTCCACTGTATGTGTCTGACTGGACTACTGAAGTCTCCCTCATCAGGCCACAGATTTCTACTGAAGACTGGGCTTAGAAAGGGGGTTTGAAGGGACTGATGCTCAGAGATGGGTAAAGCTAGCCAGTTCCTGCTGGTTACAGACATGTGAGCTGAAGCAGGGTGTGCAGGACCAGTCATGTCTGGAGAAGAGACAGATTCCTCTGCAGGCACCCGCCAGGCTCTGGACCACGGTCCACCACCACGAGTGAGAGCTGCTCCACAGGCAGTGCCTCCTGCCCACAGCCAAACCACATCCAAACAAGAGCACGAGGTGTGCCCAACATCAGGTTGCTTGCTGCAGGTATCCCAGTGGCATTACAAATACTGAACAGGAGGAATACACTTGGGTAGGGTGAGGCATTAGTAATTCAGTATTTGCATTTTTCTTTTATGATCTGATAGCTGCAACACTCCTTTTACTATTTCATGAAGAAAGAACACCAAGCATCCTTGTGGCCACTCACCCTAATTTCCAATCCATTATGCACTAAAGTAACTCCAAATACTTATTCTGGGCTGAAACCCAACCTGGAAAACTGTAACATGGTAGTGTGCATGCATCTGTGCATGTTAAACAAAAGCAAAAGCAGAACAGACTTAGATATGCCCTTCTATGAAGAGTGGAAGAAACCCCCTCCAAGCAATTTAGCACTTTGACACTTCTTGCAAGTTTGCAAACACAAGAACTTGCCCTTTTTAACTCAATTATTTTGCCATGCTGCTTAATGCCACTGAACATCGAGCGCTCCATGGGAAGTTGCTACTGCACGTGTGCTGGAATGCCAGTCCCCGAGTCCGTAGTATTTTTAGCATGCCTGCACAGAGTGCACTGACATGGGAGCCACACTGACAAGGCTTGCATCCTCAAACTGCAGAGATTTATGCACCGATTTATTTAGTGTGGGCAGCTGGACAACTGCAAGGAACTGAATCTGCAAATCTTATTGAGTGCAGTCTGTTTCAAGTGCACTGAACTTGTGTGCTCACATTATCCCACTGCTGGGATACGACTTAAATAATCAAACAGCAGGACAAAGACAGAAGCTACATCTACATCCTGGTAATGGGGTTTTCCTAAAATGAAATAGTTTTTTTCTGTAGAAGAAACATTTTTAAAGGAACAGCTCTGTTCACCAACTAGCCTAATTCATAAAAGTGCTCATGACAAAAATATGCATTACTATCAGCATTATCAAATCAGAGGGTATTTTATTAAACCCAACAATTCTTTACTGAGCTTATTTATTAGCTATACTAGGTATAAGATATCCCAACAGATTGAACTTCCAGGAATAATGAGTATCAAACTAGAAATGTACCGCTACATAGAGACTTCCTGAAAATAAGGATTCAAGCAAGCATTTTAAGAAGGAAGTACTAACCAGTCCGTTAATTCTATGCAAGGATTGAGAAATATCAAAGTGTTATAAATTTGCTTTAAAAATCCCATTTCACTTTAATACAGGTAATTAGCAATGAAGAAAAAACATAGGTAACTATTTTGTTTCCCTTTTAATGGGTATTCTGACAGCAGTTAGTTAAGACAATGAATTTGTACCAGCTGAGTAAACATGGTTTTGATAACTCATCTTTCAGATTATCACAGGGACTAAAATCCAGAGGAGATGAGACTACAAAAGCAGGTCAAAACATGCACAGATAGCAGCTTCCAGTATAGTGCAAAAAAAGGAAATAATGATAGAACTTAAGTGGCAATGTCATATTTAAAAATCATGACAAATCAACAATACATCCATTGTCATAAAAGATCTTTGCTGCATTCTTGATTCTTCAGTATTAAGGAGAGACACACCCATCACGTCATTAAACAACTCAAAGGAATCTTTTGTGTTAAGTAGACCATATTTATGAGTCTGTTTTGCAACCAAAACCCCCTGAATATTCTCCATCAGAAACAAATTTAAATACATCACTAATACTCACCCCTTTGGCAGTTTTAGTAGGTGAGGGTGGACCTGAAGAAAATACAATGTAGAAAGCAATTTCAATACTAGCTCACCAGAAGTTTGAACAGCATTAAGGCAATATAATCAGCTGCTCCTGGGTTAAAAATAACAACTGCTTATTCAGTCTTTTTTTAAATGGCAAAATGAATGTTCACTTGACAAAAAACATCACTTCACAGACGTCTCAAATTAGAACTGCTAGCTGTACAACAATGAAAAATACCTATTTCTCTTTTTGCTAGACACTGGTCAACCAAACCACACATCAGTTCATTGGATACGGAGACTTTGTGAATTTGTCTAGAGGAATTTCACTTGCTACCAAAGAAATGTAATTATATCCTTAGCTGATTAAAGAATAGTAGCATTTATACAGAAAAAGATCTGGAGATTTTTGCAAATGTCGGTGACTGTTTGCAGTGACACTCTCAGGGCTACAATAGAAGCTTAAACGGACACTAAGCAGCCACACGTTGCTTCATAATTCATTCAGCTCCTTCTGGCAAATGCATGCTATCTACTGGTCAGTTTTTGGGGAGAAGACACATTCTGGTCCATGACTGACAGTCAATGAAGATGTATAAATATGCAAATGCAAAAATGAGAATTTTTCTGGTATTTCCAGTGATCAGCTCCTCCTCACCGCAGATGTTTTTTTCTGTCTCCTGTAATCACCTGTCCATTACAGCTAACAGTTACTGGAATACATTTGTAAAGCCTCAGAGAACTCTGTCCATCATATGCTTTGTATTATGCTTGAGACTGCATTTTTGCTTTAGCACTCCCTAGACACTTGGAAGAGACTGCATAAACATATCATAATAAAATTTTTTGGAAAAAAACCCACCAAACAACCAAACAAAAAACCCAACCAAAACCCTAGCAACATGCTCTCACCCCAAACACTCAGGGGTATAAATTAAACTTAGAACATAATGGCTCAGAGACATAATAAGCTGCTACATAGCTGTCAAGACTGGACACCATTTAGATATTGCACTAAAAGAGGACTTTTAAAAAGCATATAACCATATACGACAAGTGTAAATTCACATACGTACCTCCTCTTAAGATAAGCAGCGGCACCTCTGCTCCTACTGGAAACTGCTTCAGTACCTCCACCACCTGCAGATGTGTCAAGCTCTGTACATTCTGATGGCAAATCTCCTTGATTACGTCCCCCTTCTGAAGGCCTTGACACCACTGGCTGTCTAAAATCATTTTCACCTTCTGTCCTGTGGGACTGTCTGCGATGGCAAACCCAAAGCCTTTAGGACCTTTGACTAGAGGAATGGTGACCAGCTCTGGCTGAGAGCCTCCTGAAGATGCAAGAGAGATCCTCTGCTCAGTTGTATCCATGGAAGGGCCATTCAGACGACCATTGACCAACATAGGGCCCACTTTTCCATTCTGGTCCAACACAACTGCTCCTGCTATTAAATCTTGGCTGGTCACACAAACATCTCCTTTGGTCACAGGCGGTCCGTTTATAATAGGCGTAGCTGTCACTATATCTACCACAGGGTCTTCATTGTCATCAGGAAGAGGATAACCACGACACAAAGTCATGTTCACATACTGATTGACGGGAACTAGCTGAAACATCTGGACAACATCTGCATGGGTATGGCCAAGGACACAACTTCCATTTATGTCTACAATGACATCACCTGTTACAAAAGAAAGTTCAACAGTGTCAAAATGAGAAACGAAACCATCCACACCTGTCTTGTGTTCTGAGACTCAGAACAAAAGCCTAACGGGAGGAAATCACTGTGCAGTCTCCAAAACTAATAATGAATGGTGGCTGGGCTATTGCCTCTTGGCTATCTGTTGCCAAAAAGCATAAGGGATTTCCTCTTTGCATTTATTCTATTTCATCTCAGAACACACAGTTTGCTAAATATATAAAGTTTAATCTGCAGCAGATTTAAAAAATGATACTCTACAGCCACAGGAGATGAAGTAGTGCAGGCATACTACTGCAAGCAGATGTCTCCTACTTTAATTCATATTGTACAGCATGCTAAACTCAATCCAGAATAAATCGGATTTTTTGGGGAGGGGGTCATATGTTTATTTTAGGACTGGCTGAACTTAAGCTAGGATTGCACTCACACACGTTCCGTACTCTTACACTCTTGCCACACATGGCTAAGCATGTATTTTCAAAATGAAGTGGAAGTAGGCTTCAGATCCTGAAACCTTGTTTCATAATTTGCATCCTTTTGATCATGAAACTTTGCATGTGCAATACAATATTCCCAGCAAGCAAACGTCTTATCATTTAAATGCCTGGGCATCAGTAAAACAGTAACTCTCTTATTACATGAACTACAACAGGAATAGATATACATCTTTTCATTCAAACGTGTGTGTGCACCACCACACAATGCTGCAGGATCGTCTTCATTTCTACAGAGGAAAATGAATTGCATACAAACAAGTTCAAACAATAGGTCTGCAACAAAACAGGAAATTGTTTCATTTCGAAAGTAAACAGTATTATATCATCGAAAGCATGAACTCTTCTTACTCTTACCTGAAGAGTAAGAGACTTTACATGTTATGTAAAGAAGCATTTTGCCTTTTCTAGTATGTAAACCATATGTCACAGTAAGCTTATATGTAACTTAAATGTATAACACTGAAAAACATGCAATTCTTCATGGATTACAGGTATTCTCATCCCTCGTTTCCTCACTTGTCCAGTTCATATAGCTTTGCTTGCTCATTCCTGCTGTATGTTTTTGCAATTTTAATATTTGGTGTTATGTTTTTTGACAGCAACAAGGCAAAATAGACCAGAATGCACACACACTATTTTTACTTTATGTATAGAAAAGAAACAGAAAAAAAAACATTCTGTCAACAGCCATGAAGCCAAAAGTCTTTGCTAAAGCAGAACTACTGAAATCTTCAGAAGAGTCCTCAAAGTACATTTGTATCTAGAACGCTGCTTCTTTTCCTTTTCAGCCACTGCTCTGCACAGACCTTTCACAAATCTGAAAACTATTTCATTTAGTGAGGTGTTCATATTCAGAGTCAGGGGATAGAGTCATCCAACCTCCTGTGCCTCAGAAGCTGCATTCTCTAAAAGCACCACAGGAAATGGAAGTTTAGAGAAATAGTACTTGACCTGGTGCAATTCTCCCATCTTGTGCAGCAGGTCCGTCTTTTAAGACATTCTTCACCTGGAGAAACTCATCAGGTCTGTCCCCTCCAATGATTGTAAAGCCAAATCCCATTGTACTTTTTTTCAGTGATGTCCGTATAAGTGCTCCTGTAAGCTGAGATGGATCTCTAGTGAAGACAGACTTCTCTGGTCCTACTGAATTATGGAATAGAGAGACATGAAGGTAGGAAACAAGGGTTAGTTTTAGTAAGTTGGTTGGTTGGTTGTTTTTTAAGGTGTCATACAAGTTAATGATTTGTTTGGTTAACATTGGTTAACCTCTGCAGCACTGTTAGGGAGTAAAGCAAGCAAGATACTGTTACACTCATTTCACAGCTCAGTTATGTGAATGGAAAACTTAGGAGTTTTTTCAAGACCATAGTACAAATTCCAACAGAGCTGGAACTAAAGCTCCCACCTATAAATCCCAGTATTACACTCTAACCCTTGAATACCAAGCTTAAAATAGATCAAAAGCATAAAAATTCAAGGTGTGGGTTTACCTGCATATTCCAGCTGGCTCTTCTAACCCTGCATATATTAAAAAACTCCTTATGACAACCAGCTTCAGAATGATCGAAATTATTTTAAAGCAGTCTTAGGGTCTCAGTTCAATTTTAACATTTAAAAAAAAAAAATCATTCAAAACCACTGTGGATTTGGGAGGGCAACACCACAACGGCCAGCAAAAAGACAAGGCTAATGCCTTGATGAATTCCAAAACTGGTTACTTATGATGCATGCTTGCAGATAAAGATATTAGTGACAAAGAACACAATATTCTGCAATACCTGATTTTGAAGGGCCAACATCAGTCTGTCCTAGATGTTTCTTTCTTTTGGCTTCCAATACTGGGTTTTCAAACTGAGTTTTCTGGTTAATATGACTGTAGACATACAAAAGGTAGGTCAGGATTTCAGCAGAAAGCATTCTGCCTATTTCGCAGAAAAAGAGAACCACAAAAGATACATCTACAAATACTATTTTTTATTATCTCAGATAAATGCCGTGGAGGAATGAATGATAAACTATCATAATCAACACTGAAAGCATTTTTGTTCTTTCAACAACTTGATTTACTTTAAGAACCAACACAATTTTACTTCCTGTAATTATTAGGTAGAGTATACCTTCATTCCACTCTGCAAATTTTCAAAAGGTTGTAATAGTTTAGAACTGAGAAAACCTGCTTTTTCTGTTGACCCTATGTGTTGCTTCCATCTACCTACAATGTTTACAAACTCAGACATCACCTTTTTAATAGTAGATGCTAGAGTAGTACAGCAGAGTGGAAAAAAAACCCAGTAAGTTTGAGCAGAATTTAAACACCTGTGTTGGCTTTGCAAAGTCAAAAAATGTTAGCTTGCTCTCTGAAGCTAACATTTTCAATTCTCCTAATTTTCTTCTCCATAGTTAGAGAGATTTCATTTAGTCTGACCTGAAGGAGATTCAAAAGAGCTCTTGCAGCAGTTCAGTAGTTATTTACTTGGCTCTTTGGAAACAGCAATGAGATACAAGTTACTTTTGCTCTTTTATAGTTATCAGGTGCCACTCTTAAATCGAGTGACCCCATTTTTGTTAAACCTAAGAAAAATGATATCAGCTCATTCCCGTTAATAAATTACTTTGGTTGCTACTTGTTTTCCCTCCCCAAATGAAATACAGTCCATTAAGTCAGTAAGGTCACACCATGGATCTTCTCACATGCCAGTGCTTCAGAAGTATGCACCATGTGTTCACTGCCCCTAGAACTGTTTCTGCTGGATATGTCTAGTACTTACATTGCATTACAACCTATACATACTGCCTATCAAGTGCCTCATTATTTTCCACTCAGTTTATAATTATGTCAAATTAATAATTAGCACTTACTCAACATAGTATGTTCCGTATTGAGGGTCTTCTATTTTTTCCCATCCATAAGGAAGCTCTGCAATCAGAAAGAACAAAATTTTCCATTATAGTGGAAAACTATCTGCAAATGTCAGAGTTCTTACGAAGGAACGAGAGGACAGATTACAGACTCATGAAAAATATGAGGAAAATATAGGTCTTTTTTTATTTCCCTTCATTTGCTTGAGGCTGGTCCTTCTGATGAAAGGATATCAGCCTGTTCCAGGGAATGTGAAGCCCTATAACTCTCACTCTTTGTTCCACTAGATGAGACGACTTGTATTCAACAAAATGACACCACTTTAAACATATAATAAACTTAAAGATGAGATACAAACTAACCTATTAAGAGAGGAAGAACCTATAAAGGGGAAGAAAAATACATTATTTAAAGTTAATCTAATTATAAATTATTAATGTGATTTGATAGTTGTCAACTTTTTAAACTACACAATATGAATATGGTCACACTGCTTCTGCCCCCAAATACACCATAAAAGACAGCTATCAATGCCTCACAGTATCACATCCCAAGCTTGTAAAATCACACATCTCCATTCCTCTTGTACCTTCCGTTTAAGACCACCTAGCAGAAGTAACATCACCTTTATGTATTCTCTCAATAACATCAGGATATTTCACTGTCACATTCTGACAATGTTTTCAGTTTTCAATCAACCCAAGAAACCTTCAGTCAGAACTATCACAGCCATATGTGATGAGTAGAGCCCCCACCATCATAGGCTATTTCGCCCTGATGTTTACAATATAGTAAGACATCCCAAAACTACCTAGCACTTGTTCAGGTCTGACCGCATCAATTCAGGACAGACTGCCTGGCCTGCCAAGATGACAAAATGCAGTTTGTGCTGCTGCAGCCTGACTGCTCTTACAGCCGCAGCAAGCTAGCTGACAGTGGCTCGGGCTTGGACTGTGTTGGACATCCCTACATTAGGGGTCTAAAATAAAAAATTACGTTTGATATAGGTACTGAAAGTTACACGTGAAAAGCTCCTTTTTATGGCAAATTCAGAATCTGGTAAGATGGTACCCCAGCAGCAGATCATTACTGACTGAAGGTGACAAGCAGTTAGCACAAAGGTCCAATTATTCTAGTTTTACTGTTCTAGTTATCTTGACCATGGAAATTTAAATATTATAATAATGGGTACAGTCAGGTAGCTAGACATTTTAAGGATAAAATTGCTATGTAGTCTTGTTTGAGGCTGCCCTAAGTTTGACAGTGACAGGAATTTTCCTAGCATATGACAGCATGTTACCAATTGTTAATACCAGCATCACTCCACAGGGTTTGACAAAAGACGCAGTGGGTCTATTCGTTTAAATGTTGTTCATTTGTGTATCCTGCATCTCTTTGTTTAAAGTGCTCTTTTTATCCTGCGGTGGGCTGCACGTATGTTTAATAAGCAGCAGTATGCGTCCATTGCTCCAGCTGGCTTCATTATGAATACATCGTTGTTAGGCTGTGCGATTTAGGAGGACGACAGGCTATTCTGAGTCTGCCTCAGCTTTTGTAATATGTCAGGCATTTGCCAATGACAGAACTATTTGGTACTCTTTTCTAGCTGACTAAATTGCATGACTATGTAGGAAACGGCTGCAGGAATTGTCTGTAGGCCAATCATGAACCTGTAAGTCTTGAAGCAACAGTGTGAAGAGTTGAAAGTAGTCAGGTTGTTCTCCCTACTGATGCATTCAAATATTACATCATGTCACATGCAATAGGTATCATTAGGAATAGGTATTATGCTGTATCTTCTTTATTATTCCTATATTCTAACACTTATGGACCTTTTCCTCCTGCCATATTCCACCCGCAAAACAATTTCCAGTGAGATCGTCAATAATGTATGCAGCTTTCTCCTTAGCAATGATAGTTACCAGAACAAAATATCTCATTCTCTTCTCAGGAATGCAGATAAACCCATGATTCAGTCAGATTCTACTGCTCCAGGGAAAATACACTACAGACTTCCCCAGTCTTATGTAAACTCTTATTGCCACCAGACTAGGGACACTCAGCACTATACTGCCTGTGCCAGAGCCACGTGTAGCAGGAAAAAGCTTCTACCACAGCAGTAATGGATTGTATCCAGCTGTGATAAACTCAGACATTTATCAGCACAGGTAACACATGAATTCTGAACATCTCACCTCCGTCTTCACAATCTTCAGGAGCTTTGGCCTTCTTACAGAGCCGCGGATCAAGCCACGTGGTTGTCTTGGTGTTATGACTATGGAGCAGAACACATGCCATTAAAAGAAGAGAACTTCCTCAGACTGAAGAAAGTTTGCTTTACTTTTAAATATTTACCACCATAAGCAAACTGTAGCTTTTAGATAATACAACCTTTATTTGTGTCTCAGTCACATCATAAAATGCTAAAAAGAAAAGGCAACAATGATGCTCAGAGGTACCAGCACACTGGAGACTCTCCAGGACAGATGTGAAATGTTAGAGGTACAAACACTCTCCCCTGCCCCTGAGAGCTCATGTGGGAATAGCAGCTGTTTCTACCTGGAAGGAAAAAGTATTTTTAGCCTCTTCTTATGCTTAACTCTCAGTAAGGTTTCTGTTTCATTTTTGCCTTAGAATTCATAAATGAGGCTGTTTCACATGTGCACATGAGCTACTTTCCTACCGTGTGCTTTAATCTGTGCTATTTGTATTTTTAAGCATGCATTCCCAGCCAAGGAACACAAGCAGTGAAGAAAGAATAAACAAGCTCTTGGATTTCACAGAAATTTGACATAGTGAAGGTTTATACGATGTTATACCTCACTTAGCAATATCCACCCAGCTTTGTATTTTGTGAGATACAAAACTCATATTACAAACTGACTTTACATGTGGAACCATAAGGCTTTCCTGTCTGATGGCAATCGTACAAGTATGCAACACAGATGACTATCAGTAAGGAACATAACAGTAGGAACAGATTAAATTTCATAGAGAAATAGAAGCAGTAAGAGCAGAAGGAGAGAGGTGTAAGAGCAGCAGGCAGCTTCCTAGACTGCAGCCCATCAGCATTTCTCCCCTCCAAAGGGCATACCAACCCCTGACAGGTGTCAGTCTACTCACTCAATGAAGTAGATCATGCCAGTGTCAGTGTAGGCCATCTCCCAGTTCTTAGGCAGTGGTTCCAGAGTTTCATCCCTCGACAAGTAATTTCTGAAGTCCATGGAGCTGCTTGTCTGGTTGTAGCTGGGAACAGGTTTCATCCAGTCAGGAGAATCTGAATGTTTTTCTTTGTTTTCTGCAGTTGTTCAGGGAAAGTGTTACTATTTGTCAGATGTTTATGTTGTTTCTCACAAAGAACCACCCTCTTAATCTGGCTATGAGTGGATGTCAAACACGTCCCTGCATGTGATGTGCATTTTTCCACTTTTTTTTTTTTCAGCTGTGAACTTTGAAAAGCTGACATGAAAACACTGAACTCTGCTCTTCCCCTGCCAAACAGAATTAGCCTTGCATTATGTGTCTGACCCTACCCTGAAAAATCAACGCTGGCAGAAATCAAAGTTCACTACACTTTCTTGCCGTTCCTACATAAAGAACAGTGTTTGTAATGCCATCAAAAAAAACCCCAAATCCTACCAATATTCCCCAACGCACCAGAGTAAAATGTAGAGAAGACCCAAACTGTCAATAAAACAAACACCACTCTCCCTCAAGCCACAAGAAGAAAATGCTCCCAAAAATCCCTGCAGAAAACTTTAAATGCAAGCCTCCACCCTTCAGTCCCAAGGCTATGCTTGGTATCCTCCATCACATGACGATGTCCATGACCTTCACCTAACAACCAGCCTGGCCACCGGGCCGCTCTGTGCTGTGGTGCTGCCAGCCCTGAAGCTTGCAAGATTAGGTCAGGTCTGGTCAATATAAGTCTGTCTTAAACAGTCACACAGAGGATCATCTGCAAATGCAATGTGATGGTTTCTCTCCGCCACCAGTTCTTCCCCCTTGAGATGAGTAACCATGACAGCGAAAGAAAGAGGGCATCCTGCCAATCTTTGAAAGGTCCGACTGGACACTGGTGCAGCCTCAACGCACTCTGCTTTATTTCTCTCCATAAAGTCCCCTTCAGGCAGTTTCAGGTTGTGCAATAGATCACTTAACCAAAATCATGTGAAAATTTTACAGTACGAGCTAGTGTTGCTCCTTAAACCAATCGCTTCACTAAAATCTCCTGCATACAAATTCAGTAATCTCCTCAAAATTAAACAATAACATTTACAGGGTATGAATTATACTCTGCAAAGGATTCCATGATTTGAAGAGTGGATAAATTTTTCCTTCCTCCTCATGCAACTGGCCGATACCCAGCACTACATGTTCTCTACTGAGCAGCGCATTTTATGATGCAATTGCACATCTGGCTGAGAGAACAGCTGTTTCTTTTTAAAATATAATTTCAAAATCAAATAAAAACACCAGTCTGAATAGAAAAACGCCTTCAAACTTTACCAAAACTAAGGAAGCGGTTCAAGCAAGCATGAATGTTTTTTGTATGCTTCTTATCCATTCATACAATACTTCAAGGAATTTCTCCCCTTGTCAACCAACCTATCCCTCCGCTGCCATTAACTGCTTCCTTTTCCTCCTCTTCCTCCTCTTCAGGGAGAGAACTGTCCATCCTTTGCATTTTGCTGACAGATGTGGTTCTTTTCCTCTGTGATTCGGTATCAAAATCATTGTCAAAAAGAACTTGATCCACTGGATCAGGCTGAAAGGGGCTGGGCTCTGCTGGAGGCTTCGGAGTACCATAAAAATTACCTGACAATGAGACAGAAATCAAGATCACTAAAGCACTGATATATGCTGAAAGTATTGGCAGTGAATGTTTTATTGCCCATGTGAAGTGTTTTTGGCGAAAGACCTGAACTGTAACTTAACTTCTTAAAGAAGACATCAGCAGTATCAAAAAACATTCAACAGTCAAAACCTATTTATTCCTACATTGTCTTTTTGCCAATGATGCTATTGGACATCAGAAAACCAATAGATTTAATTCAAAATTTCTATCCTTCTACATGTTTTCAAAGAAAAAGACAGATTTGTTACTTTGCTTGGAATTCACTAACGCTCCATAAAGAGACTTGGGGAACAGTCTGAGAGAAGCAGAACAGTGAAAAATCAATTGTTCTTACTCTATATACTGATTAACTGATTAACAGAGTAATATGCAGCAGCAGAAACACACTAAAGTCAAAAAGCAAATTAATTTTGTGCAGAAACATAAAGTATCTATTTACACAAAACCAGTTACAAATAATTGCTTTTAAAGTTACAGTCCTACAATTTTCTACTGACAATACACTTGCTAAACAAAGCTGCTAGTATAGCTTCATCTAAAAATGATTTGTACTTGACAAAAATGAACAGATTTTTACTTCATTATTTAAGTCTAAAACACAAAGACTAGGAATCATCTGTTGTTTTCTGGAAAAGTATTTCAGCAATTGACCTCTCTCCTGACTGCTCATATGATTTTTATTAGGGAATTGAGCACACAGCAGGAGAACTTCCCAGAATTCCTGCTGGGGTAACTTTTGGTGGCTGGATATGGTTTTGACCATGTAAAAAAATAAATAAGAAACCCTTCTGAAAATATCAGTGAGGGTGAGGCTCAAAGTGGTGACAGCCAGATAAAGAGGTGCTAAGGGTGGGGGAGGAAGTGCTAGTTCACTCTAAATTTGCTTAGGAGATTTCCAGACAGGACGATGTTAACAGACAGTACAAGACATGTCAACAAGGAGGTACAGAGCCTTTCACAGAATTTTCTACTTTGGACTTTTTTTTTTTTTTTTTTTAGGCAGGGGGGAAATCAATCAAAACCACTTAAGTGCCAGTAAACCACCACCTACCAAAGAAGTCCTCTAGATGCATGCTTAAACTTGCTTTAATCAAATATATGTTAAACATCTGTAAAAATCAGGCAGGTTTATGATCTGGTAAATTCTGTTGAACATTAATGAAAGTTGCACGTGCTCAGTATTTCTGAAAATTTGTTTGTAATTTGGTTGCCTTCAAGTACAACTATATATTTGAAAAAAATCTAGCCAGATCATATTTCAGGTTTTATAAACTTGGATACAAAAAGCAACGTGAGATGTTTGCAATTTTTTCTGTTCACAGTGTCAAGAGGTAAGTCATTCAATAGTAAAAAGCAGCAGAAGGCAGGCAATCATTACTTGAAACTCATCTGCAACCAGGCGCGCTCCACAGGAGTGCAAGACATCCCAGGGCTGAGCCAGTCAAACTGGTCTCTCCTCCCTCCCACTTTAAACAAAAGGGGGGGTTTGGTCCATCCCCCCACCCCAGAGTACAGGGATGTGAGGAAGTTATCTCTGACTGCCATCAAACCCTTTAAAACTAACCAAAGCAAAGCAAAAGCCCACCACACAATGGCACCTCCATGACTCCTCTGGATAACCAGTTCCTCACGGTTCACTACCTTCATTACAATGTTTTTCCCCATCACATTTAACAAAACCAACTTTGCTACAGATTTGGACAATCTGGTCTAGCAAAATACTTGGTTTTTTCCCTGTTGTATCAGAATTGCCCTTGCCTCTTGTCCTTTTGATGTGTGCTTCTGAGAAGAACATGGCTCTGTTCTCAAAGGTTTAAACAAAATTGACTGAATTCTCTTAAAACAAAATTGTACCAAGCATAGACAAACATTTTCAGAATGCTTCCTCAAAAATGCAATAGGGAAAATAATCAGATGGCATTAAGACTGGTTGAAAGGACAACCTGTGATTTAGTAGAGAGCTTTAAAAAAAGACCACTATTCCTCTTCAGTCTAAAAACAGACTTAATATTGCCACTCTACTAGTGTAATGACCATCAATGGGTGGGAAAAGTGGCACCTCCTGGGTACAAGGAGCTACACCCAGACCAAGATACTGGACATGAGTACTGGGTATTCCCATTCCATTAAACTTCATCAACATACCATCATATGTTCCACTTTCTAGCAAGGCTCCACTTTCTTCCAGTGCTTTAAACTGCTCAACAGGAATGAAATTATAGTCTACTCCAGGGACCTCCCCATCTCTGGGAGCCCTTGTAGTGCCTGAAAAGACAGAGAAAACACTCTTGTAAGATACTTAAGTGCTGCCTGCTGTACAATTCACTAAAAACAATATATTTTTGAATCTTTATGCAATGATGATGTCACTCCAGTAAGATAAGAGTTAGAACACTGGTGAGCAAGTGAACAATAACGTATAAAAACTAGGCCGATAAATTACGTAGGTACAACAGTTGCATTGAGGAAGGAGGAGAAAAAACGGCTGGGTGAGGAATTAGAGAGAATTCTTTCTTATGCTCAGTGAACCAAAAACGACTTCTATGGAAGCTGACAATGCCTGGGCTAGGCAGTTGCAGTCTGGGATTCTGGGGGGGCTGTTTAACAGCTGTGGTATTTTAATACAGCTATAAAGGTGCTTCATGTCTCCATTGTTTCCACTCACTAATTTGCAATGAGGTCAGCGTGACTAAGCACATTTGATTTTTGGGCCACCAAATCCATAACTGGGCACAGAAACTATTTTTTAACCTTACAACTCAGAGTGTAATTCAGCTATACTCCAAACCCTGGCTGTAGGTAAGCTTTTTCAAAGTAATCAGTAAATTGCTGTGTTAATGCAGAAGTTCTCAAAGCGTTATGTCTATAAATACGGGCCTCCCATAGTTATAATAGCTTAATTAAAGCTCTCCTGGAAAGGACTCCACTGATTCATTACTGCCCATAACCTAATAGCATTTTAAAGGCATATGTCAATTTTTTCAGGCAGCAGCATGAACAAGAGCTGCTAGTAAATAAACTGCATTTCACTATTATTATCTTTTAAGAAAGTCACAAACTTTTGGGCACAGTAGTTACAAAAATGTTACTTGACAAACTTTTAAGTTTTTAGTGCAATGAATATTTAAATACAGTCGGTGATGAGCCTTTTTAATCCGTGAACCTTTGAGACAAGGTAAAGGATGATCTTGTGATAATTAAGAAATGAAATGGCACAGAAGGGTGAGAAGCAACGACAGGGTATTTGGCAGCTGTAAGAGCATCCTGTACCTTGAACGGTGCTTTCTATAAATGTCCACTCATGTGAGCAGTAATCTTTAGGCACCTCGCTAAAGGCAAGTTAACACCTGCGTCAGTTGGACCAAAAGATGCTAGCAGATGCTCAAGAGCAGAAGCGCTGGCATAACTGATGAGACAGGTCCATCCAGATTCACTAATTAATTCTTGTTCATGCGCTGTTCCTTCCTCCTCTTCTTGTGCCACAGATTCACTCTCCCTCCTGCCACCACCTCCTTGTATGGTCTTCTCAAGATGAGCGAATAACAGTTCCCCTGTACCTTTTGCCATTGCAACCCTCCCACAACTCTCCTTCCAGCTGCGCTACTCTACCTAATGCACATGACCCTCTCAAGGTCTCAGTTTCCTCTTTCTGCAATACATTGACAAAAATCAGGACATGTTTGTACTGCTTGATCATGCTGAGGAAGATTTATTTCCCGTGGCAGCTGTGGTTACTCTAACAACAACAACTGAACAACTTCCGAAGGGTAAAACACAAATAATACTAAAACACTCCGAGCTATGAATTCTGAAGTTTTTGCTGTTTTGTCAGTCCATATTGGCTGTACCTTTTCATTGCAACTTAAGATACGAAACTATTCTAGCAAAATCATTTACAGAAGTTCCTGCTGCAAGGTAAAACTATAAACCAGATTAAGAGTGAAGGCATTCAAAGCTCTCAAATTATGTGACGGTTAGCAGGAACAGATCAAATGAGGCTGATCTTTACATACTTACAAGGGATGGTTCTCAAGTAGAGATTGTCTCTGATCACTTGCTGGAGTTTATGGTCTATCGAGCCCTTCTGGAACTGAAGGCTCAAGTAGTGGCGCAAGTCTTTGTTGATGACTTTTCCTTAAAGAACAACAAGCAAGAATAACTTGTAAAAATTAAGCAGGATCTCACAACAAGAACAGCATTTCACTGCTATAAACATTTCAAAAAAAGAAAGCAGCAGAAAGAGTTGGATTGTTCTAAATGCAATGACCTGAATGGAAAAGCCATTTTATGCTACCAAAGCCTGACTCTCTGCTGCTGTAAATTGGCACGGTGATTTTAAGCACAGCTGAGCAACAACCATCCAACCTCAGTGTCTCCCAAGCAATATTCTGGAATTGTTTGGACATCAATAAGAAGTATTAAAATACAAAATCTATTACCAAAATTAAAAGTCTCTATAGCCAGGAAACTGCTTCAAAATATAGTAAGAATACTTTCTATTCAATTTACACCTACTGGCTAGGCACCTGAACTCAGCATTTTGTCACATGGGAATCTGCATTCTTGATGTTATAAAACAGAAATATTTTCTTTTTAAAAACACTACATAATAGGAAAGAGTTTTTTTACAATTATTCCTTTGCAATACTTCTGTCAGGCATCATTAGCGAATCTGTTATATCACTAGATAACCACGGCCCCTTCAGCACACAAATAACTGATCTCTTGTATTAGTGCTTCATCCTTCTGACAGAAGGGTACAAACCAATCTTTTGTACCCTGTCATCTTCCCAGAAAGCACATTAAATAGGGTTCAGTGACCTTGATAAATTTAAGTTACATACTACAGCAGAACAGTCGGGGCTTTAGGGAAAAAGACTCAAGTCTTTGTCTTCAATACCCAACCTAGGAGATGGCCAGTAGCAGGCATATGCTGGTGTATCACAACAGCGGGAACAAAAGCTGGGACAACTGCTCCTTTTAAATTATGTCAGCAACAAGTTACAAATGTATTAACCTGCCATAGGAGTGATTCTGACAGGAGCCTCTGAAGCCTGCTAAGACCAGCTGCTGAAGAGACTACCTCAAAAGGCCCGAGAATGAAATGGGGCACAGACCCACATCAGCCTTAATACAAAGCTCACCTACACCTTAAGCTGAGATTACTGTACTTACATAACGTGTCAAATTTGGAAAAAAACCCAACAAACCAAACCCCAAAAAATCCTTCCACCACTAACAAAGGTTTCCCAACCATGTGTCACTGCTGCAAAGTCAGTTGCATATTTTGGTTTTGGCAAGTTTGCCCTTTCCCTTCCCTTTTTGCCAAGTTAAGGGCAAATACACACCTTATACTTAAGGTCTCTCAAACATTTACTCGGCTACCACCATGCACTAACAGCAAACCATGTCTCAATTTGCGCCCTTTTCCCTCTGCTGGAAAGTATTTAAAAGCAAAACCAAGATTACCTATCAGCCCTCTCTTCGTAGAGGTTTGTGCTGTCCATAAATTAACCAAAACCCAAACAAAACCACCCTAAGCCCCCAAGCAAAGAAAAGCCCACCGCACACCCACACATGCCCCCAAGAACACAGGCAGCACACCTGCTGCTTAACACCAGCCCTGAGCTTCAAATGAAGTCCATTTCTCACCATCCTTTCACACCGTCATTTAAAAATTATGCCCAGAAACACAAAAAGCATTCTACAGCATTGAGACAACACAGCAGTACAGTCCTCACTGCTTTCCAGGAGTTATACAAACGGCACGGCAATTCCCACTAACATGGGTGGGGTGAGCAGCACCTCCCCAGCCACCGGACTCCTTCCCAAACACGAAACTCGCAGTAACTCTGCAGCTCCCCGGGGTCTGACGCTCTCTGTTGTTATGACAGCAAGCCCCCAGCTCAATTCCCTCTTTTGCCATCATGAGCTGTTCTTTATAAAACTTTGGATTTGCTTCCTGCAGCATAATGAGCAAAACATGCCGCAGAAAATGAAAACAAATGGTGTAGTCTCCAGCAAGAAAAATATTTTCCATTTGTTACTACAAATCACTTTATTATTTGTAGACAAGATGGTTTCTCAACATTAAAAAATGTTTTACCACTAAAATGGTCCATCCATCTCCCTGTCAAAGCCAGATCTATAGCACTGCACTTTAACAATACAAGCATATTTCACTTAGGCAGATCAATACACACATATTTCACTCAGGCAGATGAATCTGGTTGTTAGCTATGTTCAGAGCACTGCACATTGGACAAAACTTGGCAAGAGGCGAAAATCTGTACTGGATGTAGAATTAGAGATAGAGACTTTATTCAGTGATCTTACCCTCTTCATGTTTTAAAATTTAAAAGCTCATAAACCCTTTTCAATAAGTATCAACTCAGTCCAAAAAAAAAAAAGTAAAACCAAAGCTGCTGCTAAGGATATGCCAACACTGAGGGGTTAATCTTAACATTAAAACCTTGAAGACTGGACTATACTCTAAGACCAAGATGACTAAATTGAAGATTGAAAGGATTGCCTGGGGAAAACAGAAGAAAGTCAAACAAAATAGCAGGCAGAGAGAAAATGACAGAAAGTCACATAGAGAATGGTGCGCATTGGAAAGCAGAAAAATAAAGTAATAGTAAGGATGCTTTAGGCAACCTCCAGAGCTTGTTCTTATGCAAAAGCCAGATATTTCCTCCTTCAGGAGCTGAACATGCTCCCTTACATGTTTCACGCAGGCTTTTAGGAGAACTTCATGTATCAGGCTCTCCAAAATGACCTAATAAATGTCGAGTTGGTGTTTGTTTTGCTGCTGAGCTGTCTCTGAAGGACGACACACAAAACACAGGGACCAGTCAAGAGGAATAATGTATTTTATACCATTCGGGTTCTGCAAGATGAACAGGCACAAGCCTCTTGTTTTCAGTTTTAATTTAAATTAACCACAAAGAATGAGGATATGCACACTGCAGTTCAGTAAAGAAAACTAAGTGACTGCAGACGAAAAAAAGCCTTGAGTACCACTGCAGCAAAATACAGCGCTGTGAAGGACAGAGGCAAGTGTGAGTGACAGAGACATTGCGAAAAATGGGGGTAGTGGCTTTCATCTCTCATCACACCATAAACTGCAACAGTAAAGTTGCCTTTGCTGCTGTACCTAAGCAGGACAAAGATAGCTATTTATACATGCAACCTGTCATGGAACTGCTAAAGTATATGCATTGCAATTGCAAACAGATGAGTATCGCCATGGTACTACTAGAATTCAACACAAAGAATGCTGTTTCTAAATTAGCAATATTGGTGAAACAGCAAAGCTCAAAGTTTAAATATGCAAATAAATTTTAAGAATTCAATCTGTGAAGATTTTATGCTGCTGCCCAATAATAAGTCACAGAAAAATAATGTCACAAGTATGTCTGGCTAATGCTGCTAGTACATGGAGTCCATCTGCGACATCCTCCACAAATCACTCTGAGGACCACACGGAAATTCTCCATTTCATTTTGATGCACATTTTAGGCAGGCAGACATAGGTGGCAACTTTCTAGAGGCACGGCACATCGTATTCACTGCACTATGCGGGGAGCTATATTCCGAAGTTTCCATGCCAACAACTCCTAGAGACAGTGGCATCTATATGCTAATAAGGAGCTGCAATGCTGAGGGGCAAATGAATGAGTACACAGCGTTCTTCTTTCAAACTTTTCGAAAAATACTTTACTGTTAATTATAAAAGCAATTTTTCAAAGTTGCAGTTTATTAAGAGCATACTACTTTCCTATTAAACTATATAATTCATTACTAGGGCACACTTTCACCGTAGCCTTTAGCACAAGACATATTTTAAGGGACCAGCTGTGAAAATGGAATTGCACTCCCTCAATATAGAATCATAGAATGGTTGGGGACAGAAGGGACCGAAAAGACCACCTCGTTCCAACCCCCCTGCTGTGGGCAGGCACACCTTCCTCTGCTAGACCCGGCTGCTCAAAGCCCCATCCAACCCGGCCTTGAACACTTCAGGGATGGGGCAGTACTCGTTCTCGGAGTAAATTTTTAAAAAGCCTGTCTGCAGTCCCGGTGTGTTCCACTGGTGAACCGAAGGGTTAAAACACCCTCAAAAGCTCACAGCAGGCAGGGCGGCAGCCGAGGCCTTTGCCCAGGGCCCGGCGGGGGGTGGTGGTTGGTGTCCCCGGCGGGGACCGAGGCTGAGGCAAGGCTGGGGGCTCGGGGCGGGGAACGGGACCCGCTCCCCCGGGCCGGCCGGTCTCCGGGCCGGCGCGGCCCCTGAGCGGTCGGGCA